ATGCATTTTTAATGAAAATTTAGTTTTAATAGATCAAAATAAAAAAATGTTAAAAGAAATTTACTTAAAACTTAAAGCCAGGAAAAAGGGTAGGATTCAGTTCAGATAGTGGATAGACGAACCTATCAACAGTTTAAGAGAAATCCTTAAATATGGAAATCAAAGCATTGAAGAAAATCAGTAATGTCTTAGTCTAAAGTAAAAAAAATTCTATGTCACTAGTTCAGAATCTTGTAATTAAGCTCCCTTCTATTGAATTTGCACTGTTACTGTGGTCTGATCTTTCCATTTAAACTCTGGAAGTTAACATTCAACTCTAGACTTGTCCCTACCATTAGGCTGGCCATCCTCTTGGATGTCTCTTGCACACTTATTTCTGTGTGTCCAACTTTAGTTTTCCTGGTATAGCACTCCTTTAAGCACTTCTTGAAGAACTGGTCTGGTATTGTAAATTTTTTCAAGTTTTGTGTATCTGAGAATGTTTGTGTCTTTTTTTTTTCCCATATGAAAGATAATCTTACTGGGTATAGTATTCTTGTTTTTTTTTTTTTTTTTTTTTTTTTTTTTGAGAGGTTTTCGCTATAGGGCGTGTGCGCTCGCCAGACAGACGGAGACATAGAGACAGAAAGTGAGAAATCACCCCCCAGGGGGGTTGGTCACGCCGCAATCCCTTCTCCTCCATTCCTCTCGGGATCCTGAGCACATACGCACACGTGCCCGGTGTGAGTTTTAAGCCACCGGGTCCGGGACGCGAACCGCGGTCGACTACGCGGGAGTCCAGCGACATAGCCATTACGCTAACTGCTGGTTCCCAAGTTGTTTTTCACTTAACATGTTGAATATATTTTCCCATTCTTTCTTTGCTCACATTGTTTCCAATGAGAGGTCTACATTAGCCTTATAGTTACTTTCCTTTTAAAGTAATTTGACATTTCTCTGTTGCTAATTTTAGTATCTTGTCTCCATCTGTGGTTTTTGGTCAATCTGGCTATGATGTGCCTTAGGGAAGATCTTCTTGGGTCCATATTATGTGAGGTCCTTTGTATTTCTTAGGTCTGGATAGTCTAGGTTTGGAAAGTTTTCTTCTAGGATTTCATGGAATAGATTTCTGCTTTTATCTTTAACTTCCTCCATGTGTTTACTTTATATTTAGTTTGCTCATCTTTTTCTAGGTTCTTCAGGTAGAAACTTCCATCTTCAATATGTGTTTTAAATTTGATATATGTTGGGACCAGCATTTAGTGTAATGGCTATGTTGCTGGACTCCCATGTAGTCGATTGTGGTTCGAGTCCCAGACCCGGCGGCTTAAACTCCGGCCGGGTGCGTGTGTGTGTATGCCCAAGATCCCAAGAGGAGAATGAAGGAGAAAGGTTTGCAGCATGGCTGTCCTCCCTGGGGGGGTGATTTCTCGCTTTCTATCTCTCTGTCTCTCTCTGTCTCTGGCGAGCGCACACACCCTATAGCAAAAAAAAAAAAAAAAAAAA